CGCCCATTCATCAGGGTTTAGTAAAGCTTGAGCAGACCCATGTTTTGGGTGTATGAAATGTTACGCTGTTTATTAGTTAGCACAAGGTCAAACAGGTCGAATAGAGCAGATCCATATACTTCCTTTCTCTGCTGAAAAAAATAGCATGGTAAGAGTTTTGATGCTGGTTCTGGATAAGACAGGGGTGTCCAAACTTGGTCCTGGAAGGCCAGTGTTCTTCAGATTTTAGCTCCAACTTGCTTCAGCACACCTGCAAAAATGTTTCTAGAAAGTCGAGTAAGAGCTTGATTAGCTAGCCCAGATGTGTCTGACTAGGGTTGGAACTAAACTTTGCAGGACACCGGTCCTCCAGGATCGAGTTTGGACACCCCTGGTTTAAGATGATTAGGTCAATTGATGGCCATAGACTGGTTTGAGCTGGTTCTCCATGTCAAGAATATATGAATCAATTAAAAAAAATGACTAAAATAATTTTTCTTTCCAAAAACGGTTTATTAGGATGATGTTTCAACCTGCATGGTCTTCACTAGGTCAAACAAGGAATAAAAAAAAGCTTAAGCCGTGATTAAACTGCATTTTCAGCCCATTGACTTCTATTCGTATGTATGCAAATGCGACAGACCGAAAAAACAAGCTTGTTTGACATGTTTCACATGTCGCTGCATTCTAAGTTTCAAGCTTGGGGAACTCTGAACTGCGAAATTGCATTATGTAATTGTGTTAGACAAAGAGAAGATCAATAGGTGAAAATAAATGTAAAATATGAAGCAATTGCGCGCTTTGTTCCCGCCTCTTTTCACAGCACCGTACGACAATAATGCATGCTAAAAACTCTAGTGTGTCCGCAGCTTTAGTTTTATCATTTTTTACAACATAAAACAAAGTTATCCTAATTAGCAAATCAACAAATGATGTAAAAGACATAAAATATACTTTTTTTTATATTTACATAAAATAATATTATATTTTATATAAATTATCATTTTTTTTTATATTTATATATTTTATATCAAATTTTTTATTTTTTATATATATTTTTTTATTTTTATAAATTTTAGCAGTTTTTATAGACCTAAACAAAAAGAAAGAAAAACATTCAGAAATAAAGTATATAAAAAGTTCTAACAACAAATGCGACAGACCAGAAACGCAAGCTCATTCGACATGTTTTGCATGTCGTTGCATTCTAAAGTTTAAGCTTGGGGAACTCTGACCTGCGAAATTGCATCCTTAATGTAAAATATGAAGCAATTGCTCGCTTTATCGTGTCCAATCATTTCCGTTTAACCCGCCCCTTTTCACAGCACCGTACAACAATTTCGCTTGCTAATAGTCTAGTGTGACCGCAGCTTTAGTTATATCATTTTAACTACATGAAACCAAGTTATTCTAATTGGCAAATTAGAAAAAAATATACTGCTCAAAAAAAGGGAACACTTAAACAACACAATGTAACGCCAAGTGTTTCCTTTATTTTTGTTAAGCAGTTTATATAAACTTACACAAAATGAAAAAAAAACATACAGAAAACACCATAATTTCTAGATATTTCACTTGTTTGAACAACTTATGTTCAAACTCATTAAAATAAACATGGGATTTTGTTACGTTTAAACTCATTACAATAAAAATGTGATTTCATTTTGTTTAAAGTAAATGGGATATCTTTGGCCATTCAGTCGATGGTACTTCCATGTTCAGTAATTGATTTAAGGTAAGTGGTTGCAAACAACTTATATAGGCTGCATTTAAACTAACAAATTAAGTTGATCATTAATAAATTTAAATCGTTTTTATTTTTTTTTAATTGAGTCCATATACGTTTTCAACAATTTACAATGACTGATAACAGGATATAGATTAAAATATGTCTTAATGTTTTCTTACTATGTTTGAAAACTCATTACTTAAAGCCCAATAAGATATAATGCAAGACATCCTTGCGCTTGTTAGTTTTGAACCAGCACATTACCAGCAAAGAAAAAAACAGCTCATGATCAGCAAGAACCAGCTTAAACTAGCATCAAATCCTCCCTTAGCAGCTAATGTAGGTTCAAAACGGGTGTTCAAAATAAAACCTAACATCTATACATTATGATAGATCGGAATGGTTTAGAAAAAGCTTACATCTTGAATATGTGATTTCAGACACAATTGGAGTCCATTTCCAAATGACACCCTATAACAATACTCTACACTACAATAGCAGGCACGAACAGTTTATCTCCATCTCTGGCACTCCCACTAATGCAGATATATTCAGTGAAAAGTGGGTTTCCCGGGCTATGATTAATGCAAGCTGCTGTAAAGCTGTTTATTTGATGCCAGAATCATGCCAATTTGTCATTGTAAATCTACTAGTGGGAGCAAGCTGGTTAGAGGACGCCGAGTCTGTAACAGCTGGTTGAGGAGGTGATGCAGTGAGGGGTACGCCATCCGCACACCACCTCCCTACTATAAGCTGAGGTTGCCATGGCAATGCTGAAGGAAATTAGGTGTTAAAGGAGTATCTTGTTATGCATGAACGCACAATGCTCCAGTAATTTAGACAAGTTAAGTTAGACAGCAGTAGTTAAACAAGTGAAAATGAGCACTTGAGTGATTTTCAAAGAGTATGATATTTCAGTCATCATAATTTACTATAAAAACAACAAACTAGCTTGTAGCTATTATACGTCGAGACAAGCATATCTTTTGGAAGATTCTAATACCATTATATGTCAACTGCATAATGTTCTATACTATAGAAGGATTTCCTAAACTTTTCAGCCCACGACCACGAAATGAACAATGCCATTGACTCACGACCCCCAAGTTACTCTTAGGAGGTTATACATAAGCAAACATTGCTCATACAACAATAGGCCTACATAAACACGAGCATATTGACAACACACAAAAAAATGCAACAGTCTAATAACCATATCATTTTCATAATCATTAATTAAATGGTTTAATTTAATATTAACCTCAACTAATGAGACTGGTGGGCACAATGTTTCCAGCACAAGTCTATTCTAGGTTTTATTTCAGAGACGGCCAATCAGAGATCATTCACAATAATCAGTTGTGGCCTGTATTTGTTTTTAATGTATTTGATAGCCATAATGGTGTCAGAAAGTTGAAGCTTGCTGTGTTATTTTATTAAAAAATATTGAATATCCTGTACCAGGGAATCCTTTCATTCTATTACTGAGTGATGATCCTACGTTGAATCTCAACGTAGCAAAAAGCTGTTTGGCTGGTTGGCTTAACTTCAGCAAAAAACTACTAGCCCAACATCGGCTGCCTCCACATAATTTGGACATGTACAAGTGGTTGGTACACTTCAGGACATTATAATGTTGAAGTTATCCACAGCTCGAGTGAACTTGGTACAAATTACTACATTAAAGATCTGGACTACAGCTGCTAATAAAATCTCCATATTTATTGCACAAAACAATGATCGGGATCCAGAATGATTGCCTTATTTTGTATAGTTCATATTTGATACTGTACTTTGTTTTTGTTTTTCTTTTAACTTCTAATCATTAGATACCCCAGTTTAAAAAGACCAGGGGAGGGTGGTGGGGGTGGTTGAATTGTTATATTTCATTATATTGTTTTTTTAGCCTGTATGTTTTGTTAACAATAAAAAAAAATTAAGTTTAACTTAGTGCTATAAAATCAATCTGCTTCAGCTGACGCTATTGCTGTGTTGGTAATCTAATGCAAGCACACCAATCCTATATAAAAAATAAATAGTAATTTAAAGGCTGATGGCTTTTCATTTGCATGTTGTTTTTACTATTAAAAAATACTATTTTTATCTTATGTAGGTTATCTTTAAAATAAGGTAAATCTAATTGTTTAATAAATTTGTTTGATTTTTGGAAATCACCAAGCAACCCCTTGTCATTGTCCCACAACCCCCAATTTGGGAACCACTGCTGTATAACATTCTTCATTAAATTAGTTTTACTGAACATGGGTTGGATCCATTTACTTTCAAACATCTACAAACAAGAGAGTCACAAGTTAAGATATAAAACTAAAATATAACAATCTTAAAAGGTGATTTTCGTTATTCAACATTTCTGTTATCTTTAATTTGACATATAAAAGAACATATTTAATAAACCTAACAAATAAAGCTAGAGCTGTTGCTATATGCAAATGATAAATTTTGTTGCTCCAGAAAAATATTGACTCACTAAAGTGCAGTCAGATTATTTTATTGTCCAAGCTCAAACCATTGGTTTGTGCCATGCATCTTATGAGGTTAATGCACAACAGTTGTTTTTCTGACTCACATCTGATATTTTGTACATATTCGACTCAGGTCTAAGGTTTTGTACAGATTATATCTAGGTTTTTTTTTTGTAAGTAATTAATGATTTTGCTCAGAAAAATACATTGCATATTGAAAAGATGTGCAGCTCATTTCCTCCCTGTAATTAAACAATCTGTACCGACCCTTTTCATATTGGCAATATGCAGATAGCTTTAAATGAATGCAATATTGGCCAATTTATTGGTGCATTCCTGGCTCTGATGTGAAGAAAGTAGCTTTTTTAGATTTTGTTGCAAGCTGTTCACACACTGACAATTAAAAAAGTGCCTTTATAGATACTTGACAGACAAAACGATTTGGCAAAAAGTACTACAATATATATGCACATTCTAGAAATGCTGTCCTGCCAGTTAGATGCAATATCTTTTAACTGTAAAGTCCTGAAGCAGAAGTTTTAAAGCAGCTTGCTTTAGAACACCATCCCAGCATCTGAAAAGATCCTACTCCTATATGTGGGACTGCAGCTTCAGCGCCCTGGGTGGAATTTAGAGACAGAATGATGATTTCAAAGGAAGCTTATTCAGCTGTAACAATCCGATGAGGAATTCAGTCTCAGGTGGTGGTGGAAGTTTACAGTCGGTCTCTGAGCAGAGGGGATTTTCTAACCCCTATTTATTTCCTTTAAGCTTCACTGCTTTGTACAACAAAAAAAAAAAAAATCATGTGCATTTCCAGTCTCAAGCTGCGTTTATTGTGTACATATTGTATACATCACATAGATAAATCATTTTAAGCAAGGGCTTAATGGCATTTAAAAAAATACAAGCTGTTATACTTGCCTACTAACATTATTTAAATAGATTATATTTTCAGAGCATTTCTAGACACTGAAGAACAATAAAAAGCCCTTTAGAGTAACACTTTAGTTTAAGTACCAATTGTCACTACTAACCAATTGCTTATTACCTGCTTATATTAAGATATAGTCTGTTTATTTGTACTTAAAGTATAATTTTATTATATAATATTAATGCTAACCAATACCTAAACCCAACTACTAGCTTACTGTAAATATTAATAATCTATCAATATTAATAAATTATCTATTAATATTAAAATATCTATTGAAAAGCAGCAAATTAGTAGTTTATCAGTTATAGTAGTTAATGGCTAGCTAAAATAGGGTATATGCACAGGGATTTTTAATTGTTTTATTTTTTTTTTATTGCCATAATATGATTTAATTAAAAAAAAAAGATATTTACTGCCTTATTGATTGATATACATTATAAAGTGTCTCTCAGACTGGACAAGAAGCACTCCGTCACATTCTATTGTTCTGCGCCATTTCTTTAAAAAATGGAAATTTATTTTACCAAAGTATTTTCAATAGAGTTTCAATGATTGCCTGGTGCTTGCATTTAAATGGCCTTTCATCTCGTTTTATGCTTGAATAACTAAATGAACGCTTAAGTCTATTTAACTGAGTATATTTTAATTAAATTACATTATCATTAACCTTCTGAAATTGAAAATGGTCACATTAACCTTTCATCTGTGGCTGAAAAACACTTTCTGTGCATTTAGCCCATTGCACCTTATAAACTCCAATCCAGATAAATAATGCATAAAAATACTGTATAACAAATCTGAGAAAAGTGTTTAAAATATATATTTTATCCGAATAACAAATGCACACTTCTTCCTCAGTTTTGTAGGATGTGCTGCTCTCCAGGTGGCCTGAAAATAGTCAACTGGTGTGGGTGAAAATTATGATTATTTGTAGAACAGCCGCACTATCATTAACCTGTCAAAGTCATTGTGGTTGGAGTTGTGTGAAGCCTCACCATTCAGTTGCAGGAAATATCATGCTGTGCTGCGAACTTTTGGAGGTTGTTCGTGACATGATATCAGACGTGAGGATTTTCTAGGCCTTGCAGGAAAGTTCCTCTGATTTCAGCTCCTGGATGGCTCTGTCACGAAACTCTTCAGGGCTAGCGCACCGAAGTCTCTGCCGTGGAGAATGGTTGGTCTTCGTCTGGGCCAGGTAATGTACCAGCGAGTTGATACTGCAGTCACATTTCCATGGGTTATCGTGCAGAAACACCTCCTTCAACCCTGAATCAACCAGAGATGTCATTAAAACCTTACATTTAACAGATAGTTTAGTTAAACTTTTTATAAAAGTGCCCTTGTTACAGTGCAACTATTCATTTCACTAGTGGGTATTATTAACATGTACTTACAATACCTAAGTATAAGTACCTTAAAATTGTAAGTACAATATTAGGATTAGAATATGGGTTTGGTTTATTTACATGTACTTACACATTATTATTTGTAGTTACAGTAGTAAGTACATGGAACGTAACATTTTTTGACAGATATTGCGATTTCGCAATGCAGTGAGTATTAGTTAAAAAAACGTACTAACCTACTTAAAAATTAATTCAAATTGTTTTAAAAATATTCAGAAATGATTCACTCATTTTTCTCTAGAGCAGACAGTAAACACAAATAAAATTACCTCACCTTTCTACAAACAAGTTGAACTAGAGAGATAGTGTAGCTTATTATAAAAAAAAATTTAATAAATAAATAAACTATAAAAATACAGAAGACTTCACAAACTAACATGGCTGAAACAACTCTGAAATTGTAGTTTGCTGTTGCATGCTACTAGTTTGAGTGTCACTGGCAATACTTTCAGTTGACTTTTTAGCAAGACACCTCATATAGCCATCTGTGGTGCTTTTTTAGGTGCCATTAGTTGTATTTCCTCATGCTGTGGCAACAATTCTATGACAGCTCTTACAAATGATCTATTTGTTCGATGTCTGAAACCAAAATATTCCCCTATTACTGATGTTCTGTTTTTCTTTGATATTAATTTGTTTATTAATGCTTCTGATGTGGCAGACACCATCATCTCACTCGGCCGAGCTTTCCTGTTTGTTTGTGTTTTTTTTTTTTTTTTATTGTATAGTTTGGTTGCGCAATTCTGATTGGGCAGACCGAAAGTGTGCTAACTCAATTGGCTAGTAAGACTGTCACACACAGTCATGCATTTGCTCTGGACAGGGAAAATTGAAACATGCATATAAATTTCATATTGCACCCTCTTGCGATTAGCTAATGGCAATGTTACAAATTGCGATTGCAATTCAATTTCAATTAATCGCACAGCTCTATATCATAGTGTAAGTCCAACTGAAAAACAAACATGGTGCATTCAAAGGCTACTTCAATACCCTACCCTTTTCGTAGAGGCTCCCTGATGCATGCATTATAGTACTATACAAGAAGACTACATTATACACTGTAAACATATAGCATTCCAAATAGGGATACACCAAAATTCTAATTATAGATGCACTTGGACAATACCTATTTATTGCAGCAATAAATTGCCCTTGCATGGCACAAGCCATTGAAATGAATAGGTTTCATAGTGCTGCGTAGTCCTTTCTGCATCTGGTGTGAAAGCCTCTTCAGTGACTATGATTGAGTGAAACGTGCACTTTACTCAATGCAGTGCAGCATAGTGTATTTTCTGGCTCACATTATAGGCCATATTTCTCTTTCGGCCAAAAGACAAAAACTGCCATTTCTGTTCAATAAATGTCAGTGACCGAATATTTGGTCCATCCCTAAATATGGAAATATATACCTGCTGCTCCTTCTGCAGACTGTTTTACTCTCACATCCCGTGTTAACAGTGTAATTACTGTGTTATGAGTGTAAAAATCACATTCTATAATATTGCGATATCACTGCCAATGCAATTAATCATGAAAACACATATCAAAAGCAAGTAAACAGGGTCTAATGTAAACCCCTTAAGAAACAAGTTTGATCAGGTTGGGTAATCTGTACTTCCATTATATCAATATTTAACTAGTCATTCAGCAAGTTCACCTATTTAAATATACTACTTACCTTGCATGTTGGCTAGCATGTTGCCATCAATTGCATGAAGTCGATTCCCACTTAAGCCCACGTGAGTCAGTTTAGGTGTGTGGAGAAAAACATCTGCAGGCAGGCTCTCAATTTCGTTCTTTCTGACATAAAGCTCCTGCAGGTTTGAAAGACCCTCCAGAGTGGACACAGTTAGTGTGGAGAGCAAATTGTTGTCTAGCACCAGCATCTCAAGACCAGTCAGGGGTCCAAACGTACCAGCTTGGATACTCTTCAGCTTGTTGTTGTCCATGTTGAGAAAAAGCAACTCTTCGAGTCCAACAAAGGCTTTGGGTGAGATTCGTTGGATGCGGTTCAAAGATAGGTCCAGGACTTTGAGGGCAATCAGAGGTTTGAATGCATTTGGTGGAAGAGCAGTAAGAGCATTCAGGGGCAGATCCAACTCTGACAGGTTCCTCATTCCAATAAACATGTTAGGTTTGAGGTTAGCTATCTGATTCTGGCCCAGCATGAGAAAACGCAGGTTTAGGAGATCTTTGAAGCCCTTCACTGGGATCTTGGATATTCGGTTTCCTTGTAAATTCAAAAGCATTAGACGCTGAGCTCCAGCAAATGCCTGAGGGTGTATTGATTTAATTGAGTTTCGCTCCAACTTTACACTCTCGATTTTTGGAACGGAGCTCAGGAGGCTGCCTGGCAGGTCCTGCAGAAAGTTTTCGCCTTGAAAATAAAATACAAAAACGAAATTGCAAGAGGAACATTTAATTTAGTGTTACAAATAATTACTTAGGTTGTGGTATCTGAACAAGCAATTACAACAATTCTGTTTCAGAAGAAAAATCCATATTGATTATCGCCATATAGGGGAGATTTTGAATTATTGTTGAGAGCTTAACTCTCTTAAACTTAATTTAAAAAAACACATACAATTACAAAAGCACCAACAAATTAAAAAACGATCTTCATCAGTTTGACAGCACACGTACTGCAAATCCTCACAATACAAACAACTGAAGAAACGCACTGCATTTTGTCACAACACATGCAAATAAGTAACACAACGGAAAAGTTTCAAGGGGACCCAAAAATGTGACAGGCCCCGCTAAGAAAAGGATATGTTATTATACTTTGATTGTTGCTCAGTGAAGTTGTTGGTGGTCTTTCAAAGGTGAGTTTGTTTATTTTAATATCCTGATTACACAATTTTATTGTCTTTTGTAAATTATTAGCCTAATTGATGATTAACTAAAACGTTATTGAAGTTGACAAAAATGCAGTGCTTTTCTTCAGTTTTTTGTGTTGTGACCAAATGCAGTGCGTTTCTTAAGTTGTTTGTGTTGTGAGAATTTGCAGCACGTGTGCTGTCAAACCGATGAAGATTGCTTCTTAATTTGAGGTGTTTTTGTAATTGCATGTGTTTTCTTAAATTGCAGCGAGTTAAGCTGTATTGGCCACAGTAAAAAACAAATCTACTATGATGACCATTGCTGTTGATCAAAAGTATCTGAACTATTTCAGCCTACTTTTGAAATAATGATTTTTAACTTATTATGTTTTGGAATAAATCATTATCCATGATTTTAGCAAGAAAACTTATCTAAATACATTTTTTGTACCTACACACTACTATGAATCTATGTGAAAGTAAATCTCTTTGACAATTTCATCAACTTGCATTAATTTAGAAACATTTTGAATAAGAAAAATCCAGCTGTATCTAGAACATTAGGTAATTTGGAGTAGGGCTGACTTAAGCTATGGTCACTCTAAATTTTGATTAGTAAGTCTCACTGCAGTATCTTATTGTTTTACAATTTTATATATAACAAGCTAGGTATTTTAGATAATTAGAAAAAATAGATTGCAAAAAGATCTATGATATGTACCATTTATTGTTTGAATATTCATTTATATTTTATTATGAAGATTTACTATTAGCAGTTCAGCACAATTACAATAGAAATTACTTGGAAAATCAATGGAATCAAGTTTCCACCCCAAAATATAAAAGTCTCTGCTCACCCATTTTCAGGATCCACGAGTCAAGAGGGAGTTTGGCTGGGATGCTCTGAAGCCCCCTTTTCTGACAGTTGACTTCAGTCTTTTCCGTACTGGATTTCTGGCTACATTTACAAGCACTGGGGCAGTTTTCCAAGGCCTCCGCAACCCACAGCCACAGCACGGCTAACCCTGCAACCAGCTTCATAGCCCTGAAAACAAGCCGAGCCACTGATTTAATTATGCCAGGAAGGACCTTATAATCCCACTGAAAAGAGCATTAGGGCTATTACTCCAAAGAGAAACCCACACAAAAAAAAAAAGCGTTTGTATTGGATGTAAATTCCTCTTGCAGGCTTACCTTGTGGCTAGATGCTTAATTGAACTTCAACGTCGAAATTCACTACCAAGCCTGCAGCCGGCCTGAGCTGGGATGAGGTCTCAAATGAGCTGAAATGTTGGTCCCTGAAGCAAACTGTGAGCTCTGCAAACTCCCCAGCGCAGCACATTGGTGAGAAAAATGACATGCACAGATCATGACAGGTTTCCCTGCCAAATGAACTCTTGCATCCCTGGAGAAAAACATGCAAGCATGTGTTTTTCGTGTGGGTGTGTGAATTCACAGGGCACCTTATGCACGACTTTGATTGTTTAACTTGGCACAGGTAGGGTCTGGTTCACGGCAGATTGATGTCACTGTTATTTCAGTGAGCACACATGATAATAAGGCTGGTCAGTGAGCACGAGTGATCGGTGGAGGCGCCACAACCGCTCTGCCCTCCGAAAGCCTGCTGAGCTGATAAGGACAAGGACCTCATACATCTCCCCCCTTGGGCTTTTCTCGGCATTGTCCGCCAGGATTAACAGCAAAAACGAGTCACAGTTTCTCAGTTTCTTGCAAGCATCATCAGTGTCACTCTCGTTTATGCGGCCGCAGAGCTTTGAAAGAGGAGGGCTGGCTGCAGGAAACGCACTGAGATGTTATTATAGCTGTGTCTTTAAGTTTGACGTGTCTGTTCACCGAGATGATTTTATTGCACGATAAAGACGAAAGCTCTTTCAAGGCCCGCCAACAGCAACACAATATGCAAGCCATCTGGAGCAGCGTAATTATAATTTCTCCAGCTCCAAGCTGAGAAAAAACCAACGCACCGCCTCTCGCCACCCAAAAAGAGAAGCAGTCAGAGCTGATAAAAAAACGCCTGCGTGATTCTGATTAATAGGAATGTGTTAATGCTGCATCTGTTCTTTAACAATTATTAATTTCTGAATCAAGCAAACAAACAAAAACAACACAAGCATTTAGGCAATTCGAAGATTAAAGTGCACTTCATTGCTCGCTTTCACTGTGTTTTTGAAAGCCATATATGCTTATAAACATCTGATATGGCAATATAAGAATTCAGATGCAAAAAAGTGCCATCTAAAATATCCATTGAAAATGAACATTTCATCCCACCCTTCTTTGTTTAAATTGAGTTATTTCACTTTAAAGACCATGAAAAGAACTTGTGACTGAACCTAAGCCAAGCTTAAATACAAATTTAAAAAGAAAAATTCTGCATTTAGAGGTTTTTGCTCTTCACTCTTCGTATGCAAATAACATGTTACACACACAAGTTCATATTTGGATTCACATAGAATTCCGGTGAGTTTGCGAAGAAGTCGAAAGTTCTGCTCTGAATATTACTTTCAAGCATTTTGATTAATCTGAGTTCTCTTTACACAATAAGTGCATCTGATATTTTATATAAGACTAATAAGACATTGTAAAAGCACGCTCATAGCCTAATATGCTAAAAGGTAAAACAAAAAAAGAACACTGAAATAACTGAAGAGGATAACGTGCAAGCAGCGGGCATGGCGGCTTCGACAAAGAGAAATGATATCCATGAGCTTCTCGAGAGCATCAGATCAGAGGTCGCAGCGCTCAAAATGAAGATTCTTTCCGAGCTAAAAACCTCCATTACAGCTATGAAAGCATCGCTGCAAACCCGTGGGGAAAAACAAAGATGTCGAGAAATCATATTTGGATTCACATATATATGTCATTTGTACAACGTATAATTCAAAATACTTCAAAGAGTTATTTACATATATTTTTTTCATATATATCATTGCAATTATTCGTACATGTTCAAATGTACATACATGACACCTGCACATTTTGTCATAAATTACATTTCTATGTTGTTTTCGCATGACGTCATTAATGACGTGCAAAATTCCAGCCTGATCTCACGAGGAAATGCAAGCATTTTACATTTTGTCAGTATAGTGGCTAATTTATTCGTATGAAAATGTACGATTTTAAAAAGGAGGCGTGGCACCCAATACCGCCCCTAAACCCACCCGTCATTGGGTGATGAACAAATTGTACTTAATTGTACGAATTAGATCGTAGAAATTCATATGAATAAGCCACAAAATCAAAGTTACAAATTGCTGTGTTGCGTTGAAAATTCAGATGGAGGGCAGGAAGTGATTCTTCTACATAGGAATCGCTATCAGTACATCAAAATGTTTCAGTTTTATGTTGTTTGTAATTGTTTAAATCAACCTAAATAAGAAACGCAAAACAGATTTTATAGACTTCCAAAAGTTTTGCTGATAAAGAGAAAGTTTAAGAGACTGACTGAAAAATGGAAGGGGACATGTAATAAAGTTTCTAAATACATCCATGTGTACAAACTTTTTTGAATGCGATAATTCCTCTGTTAGCACCTATAAAGATTATATACCGACCAAGCTATGTGTATGAATATGTTAATGTGTAAAAACCAGATACAAACACCACCACACTTATACAAAATCCAGGAGAATATAAATAATGTCTCCTGCCATGAAATCGCTGCAATGAAACCTCCGTCTTGATTTGCAATAATCCGAATCTTTACTGGCCTTTCGGCAGAAAAAACAACCATAACATGAACATCCAGATACGCAGCATAAATGTTTGTTGATGGTAAATTCATTGACCAAACATAAAAGAAATGCAACCCTAGCGACAAAACCTATTATTGTTGTGGAGCACTTTTCACCCCGTACAAAAATAAACAAACAATAATGTAGACTGTGCATCCACGCTTTTGTATGCTTTAATCTGTTATTTCCTGATGTCTATAAGATATCCGCATGGGGTAAAAAAAATATAGTAATTTATAATAAACATGTTTTTGAACCACATAGTGAAGTGAATATTGTGTACTACTCTTTGTTAAAGAATGCTACAGAATACTGTAGTATTGGAGTAAACTGATAAACTGTATTAAATACTGTAACGTTAGTGTAAAATTGGTGCATTGTGATGGTGTATAGTGTAAAAGCCTAATAAATAATTTGTTTATTATACAGTTGTGTTGTACCACAGCAACAATAGTTACTACAACAGTTTAACCAATAATCTTTTAGTATGCTTCCAAACACTATAGTATTTACAATAGTAATTTTTCATGTAACTTAATAGCTTACAGTTTCTACTGCCTTGATGACAGGTAAATATAGTTTAGTTCATTAGAAAACTCGTCCCTCTTCATGATATAATGATCATGCCCAAGATATGTGTTTTTTTTTCTATTTAGATCTCCTTTAATAATAATAATAAATCGCAAAAATAGGGACTTTCCTCTGTGTCCCATTCAGTTTTTTACTTCCTGCCTTCCATCTGAATTTTGCACGTCACCAAAGCCATGTGATTGCAAACAATCTGTATGGGCTTTTTTCGCTCCCAACATCACTGAATCCCTTCCCAACCTCAAGGTGGATTTATTGTTGTATAATAAAATTGTGCCTCGGATGCATTTTTTCAACATGCCACATGCTGATCCGCGGGTAATGCTAAAGTGTACCAAAGCTGGACAAATTCCTATAATTTCCAGTGCCGTAATAAATTGAAAATGGACTCAATCAAGCGCAGCATGGAGCTGACAAGAACACAAAAACCCTGGCTGAAGACAAAACCCTACGTTATTAGAGGTCATGAACAGTCTCAGATTTACGTCCACCCCCAATACCTTGGCTCTATTAAAAATGTCCATCTTGCTCTGCATGAATGGAAACAATGGGTAACCTTTTATACCAGTCTCTGGCGAGTTATGATAAATGTACTCGGTTTGGAGAAACCCCAGGGTGTATGTAGACCAAGGCTATTCAACTGGGGGCCAAAGGGCCAAATGCGACCTGCCAATCATCTCCATATGGCCTGAGGGCAAACAGAGCACATGTAGGTTCCACACACACTTCAACATTTTTTTGTGAATTGATTACTTTGTCAACAAGGTTGCAACACTGGATCAATGTTTCACAGTCAAAAACTAAACTAATAAACAAAATACCAGTGAATCAACCATCAACATGCACTCATTCTGACATGTGCTTGTGTGATGGGTTAAGAGATGCCTGTAAGCGTAGTGTAGAAAATATATTAAGACAATATCATAAGCCATAACCAATGGAGAGAAATAATGTAGACACTGGATACATACAGTGTCACATATGTCAACACTCTGTCCATCCATGCTAGCCAAGTTATCGAATGCATTATACTTTAAAAGGCATTTTGAACTGTACATGTTTAGGTGTAGAAATATGCTGAATACCAAAGTATATTTATTTACTGATTAACATTACACAAATTCAGAATAACCTGTGCGATGTAGTGAAAACAAGAGATCATTTGCATCATGAACTTATTGCGACATGTTAAGAAGGCTTTTAAATGCTCAAATATTTGCAAATATTAAAATGTTTAGTAGAAAGACTAACTTTATTACTCATGGTGTTACCTTACAAATGTGTTGTTTGAACTAAATATATATTATTAATATGTTTATTAGTGCCCGAGCACCGGTGATGCGAGGAATGTCTTGGAATTGCTTTGTTTATGATTATCATTCCATGTCTTCTTCTCCAAAGTATAATTGTATTTTTTTGTCCAAACGTTCTTACAACCCAGACTGAACTTTGCAAACATGCTACAAGTGTTGAACATTTACATCTAATTGGGGTTTCGGCAAAATGTGTCAACAGCGATACCTATACACTTTAAACAAAGTGTCCCTTGAGCTAATAACTACAAATATCTCGATGCCTTGTGCATGTTTGACAGGAGTTTCCATTACATTTGGCAAGTATCAGTGACTTTTTCAAATGTTTTTTATATTAAACAAACTTACATGCATATTGTCCATCATTCTCTGTCATCCTAGTTAGTTAGTTAGTTAACTTTATTTATCCCCGTAGGGAAATTTCATTTGCAGCAAACACACACAAAGACTTCTGACATTTCACATTTGGAGAATTATTAGCCCCCTGTTTATTTTTTCCACAATTTCTGTTTAATGGAAAGAAGATTTTTTTTTCAACACATTTCTAAACATGATAGTTTTAATAACTCATTTAATAACTGATTTATTTTATCTTTGCCATGATGACAGTGAATAATATCTTACTAGATATTTTTCAAGACACTTCTATACAGCATAAAGTGACATTTAAAGGCTTAATTGGGTTAATTAGGTTAACTAGGCAG